TTGCCCTCGGGGGTCCCGCCTACCCTCAAGAGAAGGGACCCTGCCAGGTTAATGGGATCCTGGGTGAGCCTCGCCCCAACCACTCTGGAGTCACACAACTGGCCCTGGCCCTGGGTCACGCCGGTCAGGGGTGCCCTATGCAGGCCGGTCAGTACGGCGTGGCCCAGACCCGCAGGCGGGCCATCATCCTGGCCGCCGCCCCCGGAGAGAAGCTCCCCCTGTTCCCAGAGCCGCTGCACGTGTTCGCGCCCCGGGCCTGTCAGCTGAGCGTTGTGGTGGACGACAAGAAGTTTGTCAGCAATATTACCAGGTGGGAGCCTGTCGCCCTCACACGGTGGTTGGCCGGCTGGCCTGTGTCCCGGGTGCGTTCCTGGGAGCATACCTGGGGGCGTGGGTGTCTCGGGGTCTCTAACGGCCTGACCTGCACACGAGCACTCTCCTCCCCGGCTCGAGTTCAGGCCTGCGCCATCTGCCCCAGGTCGGCCCTGTGTGCAGGGCAGCTGGCCTCATGCCTGGCCTTAGTCATGCTGAAGCCAGCACACCCACTCGGGCCCTGTGGAGGGACCCCATGCAGAGGGAGCTGCCGGGGACCTTGGCTGCACGTCACGCCCTCTTTGGGGAGGACGGGCCGTGGCCGTGCGTGTCCCCGGCGTCAGCCATCAGCCGTCTGCCGTGCTCTGCCGCAGGTTGAGCTCGGGTCCCTTCCGAACCATCACGGTGCGGGACACCATGTCCGACCTCCCTGAGATCCGGAACGGGGCCTCAGCCCTGGAGATCTCCTACAACGGGGAGCCCCAGTCCTGGTTCCAGAGGCAGCTCCGGGGCTCCCAGTACCAGCCCATCCTCAGGGACCACATCTGCAAGGTAGCGTCCCCGGGGTCTCCCAGCCCCTCAGCGTCACCCACGGGCCATCTGGCAGGAGGAGACGTGCCAACAGGGCCCCGACCCGGAGGTTCTGGGAGGGCGTGGATCCCTCCCTCCCTCCCCTCCCCCGGGATCCTCAGCCAGTGCATGCCCCTGGGCCTCTGCCTGCTCTGGCTGCCTTGCCCTCACGGTGCACGTGGGTATGCCACGTCAGGGGCTTCTACCACCGGGGACACCACCGTGTGTCCACACTGCCCTGCCCGGCCACCCTCTACCCCTCCCAGTTACGGATTCTTCCCCACAGGCCAGACCCAGTAGTCTCCCCGCCCCAGCGCCTCCTGCAGGCCCAGCCCATGTCATACCCCACCAAGTCATCCCCATGTCATGGTCATTGGGGCACGTGGCCGCCCCAGCTGTCCATGGGGTTCTCCGTTTGGCCACTTCCCAGGGGGTCCCAGTACCCAGATCAGGGCCAGCCCCCCTCAGGCACCCAGCTGCCCTGGACGGGGTGACAGCTGGGCCCCACTCTTCAGGACATGAGCGCGTTGGTGGCCGCCCGCATGCGGCACATCCCCCTGGCGCCCGGCTCGGACTGGCGCGACCTGCCCAACATCGAGGTGCGGCTCTCCGACGGCACCATGGCCCGGAAGCTGCGCTACACGCACCACGACCGCAAGAACGGCCGCAGCAGCTCGGGCGCGCTCCGCGGCGTCTGCTCCTGCGTGGAAGGTGCGGCCCGGGCGGCCTCGCCCTGCAGCCACCGGGATGGGGGGACCGGTCCCTGGGGTCTCCCAGCAGCAAGGACCTGGGGATCCTTACCCAGAGGCCTCGGGCAGTGGGTGCTGGGCCCGGGTCCCCGAGTCAGGGCAGCCGACAGCCCGGAGGGGGCGGCGA